TTTGCACATTAATGGCTAAGGTTTTGAGCTAAATTCTTCTAAGAGAAAATTCATTCAAAGAGTTGAGTGATAATACAAGAAAGTGTTCTTGAAAAATTTTCTTATAAATATATATTCCATACTTATTGAATAAAACCGAGTAGTTTCTACTAGCGAAGGAACTATTGTCGGAATCGGACTTCAAAAGATGGATACGATTAGAGGGAAGACATTTGGATTTCTAAGTGAGTAACCACAAGAAGTGATCGTTACCAAACTGGGAATTGATTTCCTCATACATCGTCGGTTTTGAAGAAGTTCAAGAACAAAGGTAATTTTTGAAATTATTTACTACAAATAATAATTTGTATTATTACATGTTTTTAAATGATGACGGTTCGTGCATTTGCTATATGTACATATGGGTTGAGTATTTATATGATAAATACTTGTTTTTGAAACATATTTTTCCGCTGCGTATAACCCGTATGGTACAGGCGAACCCAACAAAAACATATAGGTGCAGTATATGGACAGTCCTACTAGCTTTCATATGTCTAGCTTTCATCTTCTACCTTTCATCTCCAACAGAAGATGTCTAAATACAAACAACGGTAAGAATAAAGAACACACATCATGTTCTCACTGACCTTTATTTATTTTCGGATTTCCAACATAAATCACACACAACTATCATCCATATGTCAATCCTCACAAAATACTCAGACAAAAAGATTACTCAGACTTCACATACAAACAACACACATCCTCTTTTCTTTGAGCAATTGTTCACCAGTAAGAATATTCTCATTCAATTTGCTGGGAATTAATTTTTTAAATTCACTTACCATTGGATATTTGCACCGGTAGTACCTCCTACACAGATTCAGATCAGTGTGAGAGGTAGGAAGATCGGGCTCAACCCTATGTTTACATTCTAATTTCAGATTTGCTGAACTCGGGAATGTTGCTGCCGAACTTGTCTTCCTACATGAATTGGAACCGGTCGACATGAAGTGGTCTTCGAAACTGAGCAATTGTATTCTAGGGTTCTTGCTCAGAGCAGAGCAGATAACGTCGCAGCTTTAATTTAGGAAATTAGGGTTCTTCAAATGAAAATTGATTCCTTCTTTTCCTATTTAAATCGACGGTAAGGACAACGACGTCATTTGGGGATGACGTGAAAAAAAAAAAAACCAACTTAAACACGTCCGACAAAACGACGTCGTTCCACTGATGAGATGGAAAAAAAAAAGTCTGATAAATACACATCAACATGTGAGTTGGCAGCAAACGAAAAGTATGTACCGTTTTGCAAATATTTGAAGGTTGTGATATCGTATGCAAAAGTTAAAAAGTCGTGATTATTTGCAATCTCGATAAAGGTCGTGATATTATATGCAATTTTGCCTAAATAATATAAAGTATTTTTATTTATTAATCTTATTTAGTTTTAGTTCGCAAGTTCTTATTTAAATAATGAAACTATAATAAATAAATACTACATATAGTATTTTGTTTAATGAAACTATTGTTATCAATTATATTGTGTTCTTATTCACCTTATTTAATTTTAATTATATTTAACATAATGATTTAAATATATTTATTTATATTATATTATTTAATATATTTATTTATTATATTATATTATATATTTATTCATCAAATTTATATATATATATATATATATATTATTTTGTAAATATTTATTTAATATAAAAATAAAATTTGATTAAAATAATTAAATATTTATTTAGTAAATATTTAGGTTAATATATTTTATTTCGTAATTATTTATTAATATATATTATTTTAATATGCACATCCTTTAATATATTTATTTTTTATTTAATTTATTATTTATATATACTATTAAATATACTATTTAATTAATTTAATTATTTAATTACTAAATTTAATTTTATATATATATATATATTTATTTCAATATGTTACATAAATTATATTATTTTATATATTTATTTACTATATTAATTAATATATTTAATTACTTAGTAAATATTTATATAAATTATAAAAGAATTAATTAATTTAATTACATAAATTAGTATAAAAACAACATTAACGATAATAAAAATTTAATTAACCAAGGTAACTAAATATATAATAAAATGTTCTTAGTAGATATATAAGT